CATGATTACAGTGCTATAAGCTCATCAGAAAATTTCTGCGCAAAAGAACGCCAAATCCTCTTTACAGACTCTACAATAAGACATCAATATAGAGAGTGCAGTCATATCACGCGGAAGAAAACAATTTCTGAAATGATGCCCAATCTTGCAGATTTTTGTATTATCACGCACATAGTGCAGTTTTTTTTAACTCTGTGTACTCAAGAAAGATAATGTCCATTTTGGCAATATAAAAACTAACTTATTTGAAGAGAGTTATTGTCATGAAATAGGTTTTATATCCACGTAATGCATATAAAATCTCTTACGAGCAAACAATTTTAGCTCAATAATGTTCTATACTACCAAATAAAGTAATTTTGCTTTAGGTAAATACGAAGAAAATCAATGCTTTGTTGATGTTCTTCAGTCAAAATCGTAAATGTGACAAAGATTTCACATGCGAGGAGACTACAATTACGCCTTTGATGAAAAGCCAACTTCCACTTGGCCCCATGTTCCCTGCATTGAAGAAATTTACAGTTATTAGCAATGTGAGTTCTGGTAATAGCAATAACGTCGTTCTTCTAAACATCATCAGCTACTGCACAACATTAATCCGCTGATCCGTAAGTATTCGCTGACTTAGCTTTGGAGGCAAATTTGTTATTTGATATCTGTTCGGCGCATTAAAACGACAAACTGCAGCCTGCAGTTCTGCGATTTTATTCATTTTACTGTGGGATAAAGCATATGTTTTGACGGAAAGATAGATTATGTGAATTTGCTGATGGTGCAAAATGCCAGTTGCTGACCTCGAAACATTTTTCCCAACAGTATTGGCACTCCACCAGCGGCTGTTCTCAATAAAGTCCTATTTCAGCCTCAACAGCTCAACCATTTATCGCGTCTTATTCACTATGCTGTAGCTGTGGATATGATTTACCAGAAAAAGGAAATAGATCTTGTTTGCTTGCAGGTTTGTTTCACCTTGACAGCATTTTTCAAATAACAGATCTATCACTAAGTTTACGGAAAACTGTATGGCAGCTGTGTGGCATACGCCTCTCAGAAACGTTTCGCAGAATATATCGGTTGTTGTTCGATGCGAGACCCCACACTCTGGTAGCAGTTATGCTTGAGTCTAGAGTAAAATATTCTGTTTCTAAAACAGACGAAATCCTTTTGTGAAAATGGGATGAAGTAATTTTGATATCTTGTTTCCCAAAAAAACTGCTTTAAGACGAGAAGCAAAGAGTTTTTGAAATCTCTCCATCCAACTAAGTTTTGCAGCAATAGAAAAAGGCTAATATGGTTAAGGCTATGAATGATCAAATAGGTAAATGAGCAAGGCTCAGAAAAAACGTCGGTGTCACAAGTCTAACTTGAATACGAAAGTAGATTTTTAGTTGCTCTTTGTTGTTCACTATAAAAGTAATGTCTC